CTTCTGTCACATGGGGGAGCTGTAAGTCTAACGTCAACTCAACAGACAACACAACAAACTCTTCCCTTTAAATCAAACACATGGAACTTAGGATTCAACGACTGCTTCTTGAGAAGTTTGTAGAGCCTTGTGGGATCTCCGTAACGGTGGTTCAGGCACTGAGGGAGCTGCCTCTGCTGTGTGCTCAGTCCAACCAAGACACCAAATCCGTGGTCACTGTATCAATTCCAGCTCACAGCGACCCTATCGTGTTTCTAAGACTGTAACTGTTAGGGAAATGAACTGCCCCATCTTTCTTTCGCAGAGCAGCTGGTGAGTTCAGTTAGCAGCTGCCACCCTTGATCTCTGAACCAGTACTCAGCTCAGTAGCTCCTGAAGCAGACACTTCACGAAGCTGTGTATTCCAGAGCCACTGCTTCTACTCAAGAAGGTTCTGGAACTCCGCTTGGGCATGGGCCAGCAGGCAAGGCTCCCTGGAGGGAAGGATCCAAAGAACTGCTTTATAGTCAATGCCTCGATTTTGACCAAAAACGGACCTGACTGGCTGCCATCACCCGATCTCATCCACCAACCCAGCTCTGAAAGTTCTTCATACTCAAAAGAGCAAGAAAAGCCGGTACTGAGGACAGCCGGAAGGAATGTGTGGTCTCTCCAACTAAGTCTCTGGCAGCTGCTCGGTGTTTAAGACAGATTTTTGTAACACGGGGAGGTGCTTATGACCCAATGTTACAAAAATGAAGGAAAGGAGGTGAGGAGGAGCGGGCGGAAGAAGAGATAACAAAATTGTACGATGTGATTTCAGCGGTGACATGAAAAAATGCCTAGGAAAAAAGTCAGACTAACAGCCACTCCCTCCTCTCCTAGTGGTGGGAGAAAGGATGTGTTTTCTTTTTCCAGATTCTCAATGCTGTTCTGCAGTTGGCAAAGGTCTACAAGATGCACATATTAATTTTATAACCAGGATAAAAAACCATTAGCAAAATCCTGAGAAAAAAGGAGTAGCAAGGCTGAAAGAGGATTCAAACCAA